CCAAACCCATAAACTAAGTTCAATACATGAAGCCAACTGTTTCCCTTAATCAAGAATAATTCAAATTTAATCCAGTAAGACAAAGAGAATGTGATTTGATGTTTCCAGATATTTCATAAAAACATTTTACTGATGTAATTCTTCTAAATTGTCGTCATAGCCTAACCCGAGGATTACGAAAGGTGCCGTTAAAACGTACAGATTCACTAAAAGAGGTTATATTGGTTTCTGTTCGACATAAGGGATACCCTAGTGGTTGAGGTTCACGACGCTGACGACGTGTGGAAGTTCAATTCCACACATGAATTTGAATCCAATTCCAATTCTCGGTGTCACCGCCTTGATCAAGCTTAAATAGTACTGAAAACGCATAAAACTCCACAAAGTGGCGGTGAGGTGGCCTACTGGGTAAAGTGATTCCTCGTAACTCACAAAACTAACGTTCCCCGAGTTGTCATAACGTGTGAAGTCCAGTCCTTCGATAGCCGGCGTTAAACTGCCCAAATCCATCCTCACTCTCTATGGAAAAGGCATATATTCTACATCAAAATATACTACCAAAACCACGGACAAAATATCACAGCAGTGTTGATCCCAAATGGATATGATTACAGAAAGAGCTTCAATCCCATCCCAAACGAGACCCAGCGGGTCAACCATATGCAGAGATTATGCAACTGCAATTCAACCCACACATACAACCGTGGAACTGAAAACAATTTCCAGCTATTATAATACACCTACATTTAGAATACAACACACCGCCGACGCATTGTGTAACTGTAGGGACTTGCGTCAAGATTTGTATTACATTTCATACCGAGGTACATTTGTTCTCAGCGCTGGGGAGAAGATCGATTGGCCTTCACTGATTTGATCATCGTTCTGCTTCTAGTGCAATAGCTGAATCGCTTCCTGGTGTATCACGTGACCTTCAAACTGACCTTGACTCGGAGACATTTTGAAATGTTGGCTTTGACATCATTTCTTGACGCACGGCATATGTAAGACCGAGGATTAAGTTTTGATTGACAGGTGATGGGCGTACATGTACGGTTTGAAATACAATGAGAAACCATGATCTCAGTTAGATTATTCTGTCTAATACGGCAGAGTAAATTTGAAAATAACAGTCTCTCTGAAGTCTGATTCGACGTAAAAAGGACAATCATATATGCATGTCGATTACAGAAAAATACGTTACAATAGAGCCCATGAATTCATAATAAGAAAAAATACACGGTATCTTATGTCATTAACCGCCATGCTGTCCAGACCGACTTTATAGTACGGTCTGAACAGAACGATAATGTTTGTTATCATGTAAACACACCACACCAATTACTGACACTTAAATGTTTATTAAAGGGGCAGAGAAAAGATATGTTCGTGTTCTCATATAGCGGGCGAAACGTGTGAAAATCCGGATTTTCTACATGACCAAATCTTGACCGAATCTTAAAACGAATTATGGCCGCAAATTGTTAACCGCAAAATATGCGGAAATTTCTCCCAATAATACGCCAAGGGTTGTTTGTGGTTGGTTGTACCTTCATGCATTATACATTAAATAGATATGTATGAAGTAACCGTCTGTTTGGATAACTGCCAATAATAACAGCAGATTTATTATATCTATTAGACACCTTGTACAAATTAAGTAAGGCAATAACAGTAAATATTCCAGCATAGTACATGATCAGTGTTCGGTCATGATCCTCTGACAAGGGTACTACTGTCTATTCTAAACTTGATATTCAATGTAATGATAACTGAGTAACTTGGTCTTTAGAATATCGCGATTGCTGACACTTCGTGGTTGTGCGCCTGCGATTTGTGCGCCTTCATACAGTGAAACTGTATTTTAACTCATTCCAGTCGTGGCTATTTCTGAACACAATTTCCCATGCACATAATTAAAACGGTTCCAAGACATCTTACTTTGCTCAAACATAACTGGATTTGTGAAAGATGAAAATGACTTAACGATCACCAATGCATGGAGGCGCGTCATTAGGAACCAAAAGAAATATCCCATGATCAATATTGAATGAATGGAAATGAGCCAAGCATGTCAGCTATACGAGAATTATCCCACTTGACTAGCCAAGTGGTTAGTGTGCTCCGTCGGTCCGGAGTTCCGGTTCGATTCTCCACGCGGTAAAGATTTTCAAAGCTAATTCGGAATATCCTCACTTATTGTGTTTGATAAGAATGACAAGCACTACTGCCTTACAATTCTACTTCATAATGAGGACAAACATCATCGGGGGTGAGTGAGTTTAGTTTTACGCCGCACTCAGCAATATTCGAGCTATATGGCGGCGGTCTGTAAATAATCGAGTCTGGACCAGACAATCCAGTGATAAACAGCATGAGCATCGATCTGCGGAATTGGGAACCGATGACATGTGTGAACCAAGCCAGACCACCCGATCCGGTCGTTTGTCGCCTCTTACGACAAGCATGGGTTACTGAAGGTTCATTCTTAACCCGGATCTTCACGGGTCCCAACATCTTCGGATGTTCGTTGACATCAGCATAACTTAGTAGTCTCGGACTAGCGGAACAGCGTGTATTTAGACGGTTGTCTCTTTGTCTGCTAACGTTAAAGGATGTCGGTCCCCTTAACGTATGCAGTCATTACACAGACACAATGTCTCAGGTTAGTGCGGGGTATCTCCTGACAACCGCGTCTTTTATCAGATGGAGCGGTGGGGTAGTCTAGTGGTTAAAGCGTTCGCTCGTGACGTCGAACACCCGGGTTTGATTCCAAACATGGGTACAGTGTGAAGCCCATTTCAGGTGTCCCCTGCCGTGATATTGCTGGAATATTGTTAAGAGCGGCATAAAACTAAACTCACTCACTCAGAAACAGGTCACCTAACCAGGAAAGTGACAGTTATTCTGTGGCGTACGGATCCATATTTCCTACCTTCAGCTTACGGCCCCTCTTACTGTTGAAAGTGGCAAACTGATTCTCATAACTTGTACAACTGATCGTTCGATTCGATTGCAAGACCGCATACACCTGTCACTGAGCGTTATAAACCGTGCTTGTAATGCAGTTTTAATGCATCTGAGTGGGAGGACGAGCTGTTGACAGATACAATGTAACACGTGTTGTACACCAGCCAGCTGAGCGGGCACTCAGCAATACAAGTACAATAGGCTAAACATTTTCAACAATGGCATATCGATTGACACACTTACAGCAATAAACTCTCGCAATGGTTGACACATATTCTGATTTCTGTCCCTGGCTCTGTAGTGGGCGGTTAGAGTGGGGGGTCGGTGGACAGTTGACCTGTCCTTGTGATGGGGAAAGGGGTCGTGGGTATGAGAGTGTAACGTTGAATGGCGGTGATATTGTCATATTGCGTTGAATGTTGCAGACATACTCTTCCTGCGGTGAATATTGAGTGAGTGAGTGAGTTTTGTTTTACGCCGCTTTTAGCAATATTCCAGCAATATCACGGCGGTGGACACCAGAACTGGGCTTCACACATCGTACCCTGGTGAATATCGAGGACAGTGACATTAAATAGCATGTTATAGTTTTAGTTATAAAGCGCTGAATGCTACCTACATGGTGATTTTGCGTTGAATGTTGCGTACACAGTTATACAGCGTTGAATGCTACATACAAGGTGATTTTTTGTTGAATGTTATGGTCATAGTGATGTAGCGTTGAATGCGAGGGACAAGATGATTTTGTCTGAATATTGCGGACATAATGACATAGCATTGGTTGTCGTGAACATCACATACACGCAGCAATGTGGTGACTATAGGTTCGTGTAAGGTCGAGCTGTGTTGAATGTCACGATGGTGTTGAACTGCTTCAGAGAACACCTAGATAGTGATACCTCTAGGGTTGTCAGTTACAGGCAGACAATGAAGATCTGTGGGCTGTAACGCTAAGTGATATAGTGGCTTAACCTACTGAGCACTGTGACTTGGTATTTCATGACACAACGCTGCATGATCGCCAGGTCAAACAGTATGATGCACTTATCTACCCTCCACGTACTGATCGCGTGGCTTCTAGTGACGGGAGCATTCACTTCCTTAAACATTCATGGTATGATCCGAGCTCACATGGTATGTTATGGTATGTCAGTGTAGTCAGCAAGTGGATATACTGTGTGATGCATATCACGCTAACATTCAACCAGGAAAGTTTTACGAAAGCTGATTGACTCTAGTCCTCACTCTTGAATCATTAATGTGAAAGATTTTTCACACACTGTGGACTTTGCTAAGCACGGACATTTTGGTTCTCGCCCAGGTAAGTTCTCTCTGAAGTTGACATACCTGGTCGGTATGATAGGGTAATCATTACAGACTGACACAAATTACAAAGGTTGTGTTATCAACAAACACAATGTGTTGGAGATGAACTAATCGACATATGTTCTAGAACTGCCAACAGGCTCGAGCTAGCGTTAAGTGTGTACACGTTGGAGAGAACTGTTGAAGAGATTTGTGTAGCATAAACAATGTTTAGGAGAGAATAATTAATGATAAACCCAGTCTGTACAGAGAGAGTCCCGGCGTACAGATATGGATCCGGGTGTGCTCGCGTTGTGATGTCTGTACACATATTTGGGTCCGAGGTCACCCACCAAGATTTTTTTGTTAAATATAACAATTCATCGTACATCATCAATTGGTTAACAACGGAACAGTCAATAGATACTTAACGTCCCTTCACAATAAAACACCTGACACAATAAAACATCGTAAAACTCATCAAGTTAAATCCAACAAACAACTCAAGACCTCAATGGTTCTGAGTAAAGGGTGTACACATTGCCTGTATAATAACAAAATACATATGACGGCATCACAATGAAAATGGGGGAAGCCTCCCCTACTTGGGGGGACCGTGACAGAGGTGGGCCGTCAGCCAGGTAATCCCAGCTCTCTGTAGATTGTAAACAACAAATCTGACCTCATTCGCCGTCGCTATAAATCAAAGAAAACTGGGTACTCACACGAATGTAAACACTCCACGATAGTTGTAGCGTCCACTAAGTATCCTCCACACAGGGCACAAAGCAAATGGGGGTTTAACTCCGTAATTCGCATCTTCCCATTCGCCGGATCCATGTTCTGAAAGAGGAAAACTGGTATATGTTTGTTGTTGATGATTCAAGCCTCTACCGAGCTCTGGATGTTGGACTCAAGAGCGGGCATATCGTAACATTCACACAACACGGACACCCATGGCTGTCCGCATTCCGCATTTTGAAGCACACACGATAAGGTTCACAGTGGAGCTAATGACTTCGACTTTCTTCCAGCTCAGCTAAACACGTAATACTCCTCGCAGCTCCGCTCAAGCAGCCAACATTGTTAGACACTGTAACCCCAGTGAGCGACCAGCCTCGTTTTCACGTAGCGGTATGTTGCTCGCCTATCGCTCGCTCCGCAGCGAGAGGCTAGTCTTCGCGAGGTTTTCCCAGGGTAAAATATCGAGTAAAAGCTCCCCTCTTTCAGACTAGTCTTGTCACGTACTTGGCCAGTGTTCTGTTAATTTGCTATCGCCTCTGATCCCCGATCGTTACTGCTGCAGAGCTTTCATAATTTCCAAATCGCAGACGTATGGTACCGTTAGCGACTCTCGCAAAGGGCACGATTTTATTGGGACTAGCGTCATCGATTTTCAAGTACTCGCGTTCGCTTGAAAGCGCATAGATTTGCCTTGAGCTTTTGCAGTCAATAATGTCGAGATACCGATGTGTTTCTGTCGCATTGCTTGGTTTAATTAAAAAGTGCACGAACATCAATCTTCTGAGCGGGGAAAATTCGACCAATGGAGATTAGAGGGAGGACGCCTCATTTCATCGGAGATTGGTCACGGGGCTTTCATGGTGCCAGAACGTCGACTGATTGTCTAAAACCGGTTTTAGTCAATATAGCAATCAGGAAGGTTGGCACCTTTGCAATCATATCATTAAGACATGTTTCGTCATTTAGAGCCCATTTCTGGTGTCCACCGCCGTGATGTTGCTGGAATATTGCTAAAAGCGGCGTAAAACCAAAACTCAGTCAGTCAGTCATCATTTAGATGTAAGGTATACTTCAACAGAAGCCCATCTTAAGTACGTCACAATGATAATTACTTTATCATGATGATGTTGTTTGATGGTGATGGTGACATTTAACAGTTCGTTAAGATATATTATTATGTTTTAAATTTTTGTTTCGCGAAAATTATTAGGAGTGATAGTGCATGTTCTTGTAGCCTCTAGTTTCAGAAGTGTGTTTGTTGTTTTATCGCCGTACTTTCAACGCTATATGACATCGGTCTGCAAATAATCGAGTTTGGACCAGACAATACCATGATCGATATTGTAAGCAACGACCATGACACGTAATCTACAAGGTCTACAATCTACAACCAACGTCGCCTCCTACGACCAGAATGTGTTCCCACCGAGCAATTCCATTCCGATAAATCCAGAAAATGTCCCCGGAAGTGTCCTCATACCCTTAGTTTGCCTTCTACTACGTATATTACTGGTATACTAGAAGTAGGAAAACCAAGTTATGTGGATAGTCAACTTCTTTATTGCAATGAGTGCGGCATTTCGGTGTAGGTACTAACACCTTTATCAAGCAAGTGATCTATGGATAGTCAACTTCTTTATTGCAATGAGTGCGGCATTTCGGTGTAGGTACTAACACCATTATCAAGCAAGTGGTACAAAGAGTTGTAACATGGAGAATACCATTGCAATAACGTAGTTGACTATCCATGGAACTTGGTTTTCCTTCATCCACACAACTTCTAAACTGCCTCTCAAAGAAGATACTAGAAGTAGTTTACTGACACGTGCCCTATCAAGTGCGCTGTCGATTAACAACAGTTAAAAACACCAGAGAGTCGAACTGTGATGTGTGGAATTTACGACTGTCTCGAACTATAAGCTTGGTCTTGTGTATCCTTTATTTAATCATCTGTACCGCTGTGTCGCACCTCGGATAGCTCGGCGTATTTGCTGGTGGCTTCAGCTTCGACACAACGTTATTTGTAGTTGCTGGAGTAGTTGCTGTTGCTGCAGGTGTTATGATAGAAGTTACAGCAGTAGTAGTGAGTTAGGTTCAACAGCGCTGGACAGTGCTGCAGTCGTTTCCTAGCACATTGGTTTAACTTGAGAGGGCAGACAAATGTCAGATACAACAACTACAAATACTGGTATAGTGAGTGAGTGAGTGAGTTTGATTTTACGCCGCTTTTAGCAATATTCCAGCAATATCACGGCGGGGGACACCAGAAATGGGCTTCACACATTTTGCCCATGTGGGGAATCGAACCCGGGTCTTCGGCGTGACGAGCCAACGCTTTAACCACTAGGCTACCCCACCGCCCCAAATTCTGGTATAGAACAATAATCACAATCAAATCGAATCTTGGCCTCGAACCCTTAACCTGTTGAAGTTCACAGAGATGTGTGGCTATTGTCCAGTAAACAACCCTAAACCCTCGGGGTAAGCTGCCATTAAAAGTTCTCTCAGAATATACTGTCGGTGTTCAAAATATATGTCGGCTCCATTAATGACAATACATAAATCTTCATCAACCTGTCCAAGAAAGACGCACATTCTTTCCCAGACCTAATGTATCTCCGACACTGAAAGATTTACCAGACCACCCTGATTACCGAGAAACGATGTCAGCTACACAAACGCCCGTACATACACCAGCAGCATAACGCCATATTATCTTAATAACTTAACTGTTTTATCTGAAAAGCAGATGCCCAATTTCTCAATTACCAGAACTGACATTTCACAAAAACACAGACAGGGCGAAGTGACTCAGTCACTAGTCTGGTCAGACATGGTTCAAGCAGGTGCACTAAAACTTAAACACCGAGTTCAATCTGAACTCGATTGAACGCCAACTGCCGATGCAAAATTGTCTGCCCGAGTTTCAATTTAAGTATGCCATCTTTCCCACTACCACTGATAACCTATTACGTCATCAATTTCTGTTGTTTACAAATGTCCTGTATCGTGCGACTAGATTGGAGGTGTGACGTCTCGCCGATAAACTGAGAAAATAAACGCCCCACGATATATCATTGGTGCTCATTGGAGCCACAGGCCATTACGCTGGGGTAAATGAATGTCTGCGGTTTGCATACACAGTTGGCTTAACCACAAACCACATATGTGGCTCCGCGTAGGAGGTCATAGGTTACAAGCTCCGCCACCCTGAATTCCTCACCGCGATAATAGGCAGCGCACAATAGTGTAATAAGTAGTTGACTGCTCACTGACCCTGTAACAAGAGTGCAGAGAGCACTGAGAAAATATCGCTACAGTTAGATAATCATTTAGTCCAATTTATTAATAATTATGCAAACTAGCTCTGCAATGATGACGCGACAAAAGACTATAGATTTTATTCCTTTATAGTACTTTTATAAAATGTTTGTAATCAATGTAATAACAATTTATTACTTTCTCAATCGATTTTAATCGTCTTATCAAATGCGTGTTTAAAAACTTGACTGTCGAATGAAAAAGCGGTATGAATTCGTCTACATAGTACTGTCAGTTAATGTTATCATTATCGAAATTAGAAACGCCTGATTCGAAGAGAATCCCAGACAAGCCCAACTGTGACACAGATTAAGCTCCGCACAGGTCCACATTTCTTGACTCTCAGTCACTAGAAACTGAAACACCCTTCCCCATGACGTAACGAACACGACATTCATGCTCTGTATGAGTCTACAAAATTCCAAACCAAATTCGAAACAATACACCCCCATTACTTGAATGCTGACTTAACTGCCCCTTTAAGATCCCGACGCTGGGACGCCCAATGCCAACCAGCAGCCGGAGTGCTAAACTTAACCCAGTATAAATATTTCTTAGACCGTGTGACAACGTCGGCAAAAATGTCATTATCCCAAACGCCTCATTAAACACACCGCTGCTATTAAACCCTAATAAAATATAAACATTCAGTCAAACTCAAAACGAAATTTCTTCTTTTGTGGCAGCTACGGGAATAGAGGTTGAAGCGCTTTCGCTTCGTTTCTCGCAATAATTTTCACCACGCATGATCAGTGAGCAATTAAGGCACGTGACATCCTTGTCGCCATTTTCAGATTCTATTCTCAATTATAAAATTGTAAAATTTATTTCAAAAGCGATGATCACTATGTTCGGGACCATTAAAATCCCAAGATTGTCGTAAAATTGATTGTTTGCATCAGGAAGCGCAATTATCTTAAAGACCCGTTTGCCAATGTTTTATGCAACTTATTTTGATAAAATTAATAGCTGGTATCAATAATTTATGTTGGTTTGTATCTCGCGGCTGTCTGAATTTTCATTTTCATTATAAAGACGTCTTTCGATAAATACGGTAAATGTCATATGTTTCAGACATATACGAAAATATTGAATTAACGAGAGCAAGTTCGTGAATTGGAAATATAACATATGATAGCGGAATATGTTATTAAAAACACGATGGCTGTCTCGGATATAATGCCCAGCTGATTAATGTTTATCTAGAGATACTGAAGTATAGACGATATTGGCTTCCTCACAGAAGGACGGGAACCTGTTTTATTAATTACAATATTAATGTACAAGAGATAGATATGACTGCCGGACAAAAGAAAAATAAATGATAATTTACCGAAAATATTGCAAATGATAAAAACGAGAAAACGTCAAACCGAATGCAAAAAACTCAACCATGTTCCCCGTATCAAATACACGTATATCGAATGAACACTTTAAACATTGGTGCATATGATGTATTGCCCTGTGGTATATTATTAATACCAGGCAGAAGAAATGAATGATAAATTGTCAGCCTTATTTTACTGATCACTGAATACAGGACTGACTGACTGAGTTTAGTTTTACGCCGCTTTTAGCAATATTCCAGCAATATCACGGCGGGGGACACCAGAAATGGGCTGAATACAAGTAGAACAGCTTTTCGAACACATCGCTCGAGAACATAATGACATTAAACCGCATATAACGAAATTCGAGGTGACTTTAATCACTTCGTTATGTGCAAGTTTTTTTGCGTAGAATGATCCCTCGTAAGCCGATATTCGTAACATCCGACT